TTATAACTGGCGTAGGAATTTGTAATTTGTTTAATGATTCACTTAGAGCACACTGACGCATTTTATGAACTGTGGGAAGAATTCGGGGCCCAGTTAACCAGCCGAGAGAAGCATGTCCCTATCTAAGGCATTTCGTTGCCTATCTATGGCAATTGTAACTGTCGTATTTGTATTGAATTGTTGACCCAGCTCGTTAGGCAACAACGCCCAGTCAGACATGGCCCGATAAGATTATTGAGAACAGGAAAGAATTGGGTTTTTTCTTTGAAACTTAAAAGCACTTGACTTAAGCTGCGGGTTCTATCAATTAGTTAACGGCACAGTGATTAATTAGTTAGTATTAGTCGTATCTCTGCATTTGCGGGCTATCCCAATCAAATGCTAATTACTTTCTGTTGTTGCCAGAAATCTTAAAAGGCGTTATCTTAAACATTCTCGGAAACATATTCATAATTATAAACACACGTGACGTCACAGACCACAAGATCAACATATTAAATACAATCAAAGTGTAGCAGAAATATATATCTTAGCCCAGCCAATGAAATACCCTTGCAAGAAGTCAATTAACAGATTTGTAGTGCATAAAAACTCAATTTTGGAACAGACAATTTATATGGTAACTATATAATAAAGTCAGCCTAACTTTAAGTTATATCTTATCTACAACTATGAGAAACATCTGTAGCAAGTTTTAACAAGATAGCTTCACAGGAAGCTTAGTTCAAATAGTTAGGTATATGATAAAGTTGGTCAATCACGCTGGTTCTAATCTTTTTGGCATTAACAGCTACAAGAAGCGTCTATAGCAAGTTTTATTAATATAGCTTCACAGGAAGCTGAGTTATTATAGGTAGGTATATGATAAAGTTATGATAAAGTTGGTCAATCACGCTGGTTCTAATATTTTTGGCATCAACAGCAATAAGAAACATCTGTAGCAAGTTTTAACAAGATAGCTTCACAGGAAGCTTAGTTCAGACAGTTAGGTATATGATAAAGTTGGTCAATCACGCTGGTTCTAACCTATGTCACGCCTGCATAAGCAAAAAGCATCTGCAACAAGTTTTAACAAAATAGCTTCTCAGGAAGCTTGGTTCACATAGACGAAGGCACTCAAATAGATCTATACCCACTCGATAATAATAACTTTATGGAGCACTACTTGTGCCACACATTTCATAGGGAACCTCTAGTACCCGCCATAGAATATATAGGAAGAGCAAAGATCTGCCCACCATCTAAGCACATACAAAAGATATACTCATACCCTGGACGCAATTGTACTTATGGAGGCGTTTGTTTATTGTATGGCCTCATTCATGGTTCCATTCATGATTGTTTCATGAGTAATTGGCAGGCGGCGAATGCTGGCTGCATTTAACGCAAGCGAATCAAAACAAATGTCTACATTATTTTCAATTAACGCGCCAATTTATAAACATTTTATTGCATTATGAATATTGTCTAGCCAAAAGTTGAAATTCTTGCGAATTATGCGCACGGCAACAAAATTCCAAATACGTTTTTCAGGATGTTTTTATATACAGTTGATGGATAAGCTAGATTCGTATTGAACGACTGGGGGAGAGGGGGTGAGGGAGCGAGGGGGAGGGGGGGTCTCGATAAGAGAATATACAAATAAATGTGTCCATGATTAGAATATTTAGCAAGCACATTTAGCTTTTCCCTGCAATTCGACTCAAAGTTAACGAATTTCACTGGTTTTGTGGAATCCACTTGACTGCGTGGAAATGCGGCTGCAATTTTGCAGGTAGACCAGCTTAACAATAGTTGTTTCCCTTATTATCGTATTCCATTGTCAAACGTGAAAATTAAGTGGAATCATTCGATCGATATGTATTTCATGAATGTCTTCAATGTTGAACTAGTTATATGTGAATATTGTGGTCGTGTACTAGAAACTTTTCGCATTTATTTTGAATATGAAAACAGAAAACTGATGACTCAGTTGTTGTTGTTGTTGTTGTTGTTGTTATTGTTGTTGTCGCATTACCTACTTTCAATATTTTGTGTTGACGCGAGCTGAATGTGTTTTGGCCCACGAAAGTGGCCAAAAGAGCAGCAGCCGCAGCAGCCAATTGACAACTGTAAAACATGGCCAAGTATGTACGAATAATACGAACATAAATACCAATACGAATACCAATACGAATACGTACTTATATGAGCTACAATACGAATACGTAAACGTAGACGGCATATGCAAATGACGTAAGCGCACGGTAGCTAAACGCCGCATAAATAGCCAAAACACAGAAGGGGGCCAAATCGACAAAAAAAAAAAAAAAACAACAACAAAAACAAACACTTGAACCTCGCGCATTGAACGAATAATTTACAATTGGCTAACAAGGGACACATGATTTATTAGCGGCAAACATTTGCGAAATTACAAAGGCGCACCCACACACACACACACACACACACACACACACACACACAAGAGAGAGTGAGAGAGCGATACAGTGGTCACTCGGCTAATGCAACTTTCAGAAATGTTACTAGTTTACGTTCTTTTGTTTTTTTTTCATCTCCTTATCTTTGACGTACTAAAAACCGTTGCGACGGCTTACTGTAAACATAACGTAAGCGCCACAACGTAAACGGTCTCTCATCAATCAAATTGAATTGCGGCAAAAGCTTTCAATTGATCAACGATCAATGCAAAACGTAAGCTCGACGTAAACGGGCAAGGTCGCCGCCTCGTTTCATTCACAAAAATCCATTTAGGTTCCGGTTTGAAACGCCAGAGCGCGCAGTGAGAGCAAAGCGCACTAAAGAAAGATAGAGAGAGAGAGGGAGAGAGAGAGAGCGCGCGTGCGAAGAGCGGGTTCAATGCAAATTGTTTATTAATAGTTTTGCTCAGTTTGTGCGTTCTATCGATTCTATTGCTGCACGTGCTTACGCCCGCCAGCAACAACAACAGCAACAACAACAGCAACAACAACAACAACAACAACAACAACAACAAAGTTGCCGACACGTCGCTATCGCTGCTTCGCCTGTCGAGTTTTTTTTGTGCTGTTATTTTTGTTCTTGCTTTGCTTCGTTTTGTGGAGCTTGTGAAGGGAAATAATTACATTATTTGTTGTTGTTGTTGTTGTTGCTGTGCGCTGCATTTTCGAGTGGATATTTAAAATTGTTTGCAAGCCGCTTCTTCTTCTTTTTTTGGATTTAATTTTGGTTTTTTATTATTATTAGCTGTGCGCGCCTTGCTCAATGCCCCTAAAAATCTGAACAGTAAATAAAGTAAAATTGTACAGGAAATGCGCGCGTCGGTAATATAATTAAGCCGACTTGTAGGTCAAAACGTGGGTGGAGGGGGGCGAATATATTTGGTGTTGCAATAACGGTAGAAGCATACACAGACATACAATCAAAGTTGACAGCGGATAAGTTAATAATTGAGAAAGTGTGTATGCGAGAGAGCGTGAGAGGGGGGGGGGGGGGGGGGGGGGGGGGAAGATCGGTGACAAATTACAAATGGCGGACAATTAGTTGCAGCTTTAAACGGCAACTTCCGCGCAATCAGCGAGAGAACCAGCAAAACATTAGACAAATTTGCACATTTAATCAAAGACAATTGAATAATTGCGAGCATAAAATAACTGGAGTACAGACGACAATGAGCTATAGAAATAGCAAGTGTGCTAGACTAAAAAATACCCTGAACCGAACATCAAATGAGTTAAGCTCAAAACACGTGGCTCACGTTCGATATTTATCGATTGCGAATAACTAGATTTTTCAGTTATATATTATATTTCTGCCCTTTATCTTCAATTTTCCTTTTGTACAGGGTATACAAAACAAACCTACAAGGAAGGAACCAATACCTTTACACACACACACACATATATATATATATATATGTACTTAGGACAGTTGTTCTTTGCCTGCAGGGCTGGCAGGTGTGCGAGAGCGAGACAACAGTCGAGTGCCTAAGCAATTGTCAAGTGTTGTCGCCGTTGTTGTTGTTGTTGTTGTTGCTGCTGCACTTCCTACTAGGAAATTCTATAGAAAAATGTGCAGACGGCAGCAACGCTTTCCAATGCAGTCGGCAAGTGTCATTTGAGACGCACACACAAACACACACACACACACGCACACGGCGCAAGATCTGTGCAGCTGCCACGGTTCATATGCGCGTGTGTGTGTATATATATATATAAATGTATTTTATGCTCTTTTTATTGTATGCAGCAAAATGCATAAAATCAGAGAACAAACAGCAGCAGCATCAGCAGCTGTCGCAACAGTAAAACTTAAACTCCACTTCCAGTCGAAGAGGTGGGGCGGGGAACCCATGAACTTTTGTGCTCAATAGTCCATTTGCCAAAATGGCTGGAGAACAGCAAGAAATTGCATAATGTTGCCAAAAACGCCATTTGGCAGGCAGCGGCAATTGAATTTCGCTTGATTACGGCACAGCAGTGGCGCCCTCTGGCGACGCACTGATTCACTGATTGTGCCAAATTGCAGCAGTCGCAGTCCCCATTGGAATGATCCTCATCATCATCATCATTATTTATTAATCATATTCCTATTCATATTTTTCTGCTGGAAAACTGCGGGTGGTCAATTTTGCGCATTTTCACTAACTCACATGTATGCAAGTGTGCATGCGTGTGTGTGTGTGTCTAATTTTTCCATTTCTCTCGCCCACCTACGGCGGCATTCAACGAAATTTGTTCAATTTTGGTAATGCGAGAAATTTTTCCTACTACCTGCAGAGCAGTATATATGTATGTGTGTGTGTGTGTGTGTGTGGTGAAGGCGTGGGAAACGCAAAAAATTGCAATTGTCGTCGTAGGCGCAAGGACGTGTGAAAATGTGCTAAGACAGGAAACGTGAGCGTGCAGACGCCCCGTAGCTTGTTGCCAATTCCTGGAATATCAACTAACTGACTTCCAGCTAGTATATACATATAAAACATAATTGAGCAATTTCAAATAAGTAATAACTGTAATACGCACCTTTTGGGAGAGCCTCTCTCACACAGTGAGCGCGTATTCCAACACAGCAGCTTCCCGTTGCGTTGACGAATTGATCGAAGAAAAGATAACAACAAAAAACTTTCGACTGACAACACACGAAATTGTCAAAATTCCATAAGCACGTACAAAAAACACACACATACACGCTCGCAAAAAGTCGCGAATATTTTGAAGGGAAGGGGGGGAGGCAACGTAAAAGAGTGAAACACTTGAGAGCTTTTGGTTTTTTTTGGCTCTTAAGTCGTGCGAGTGTTTTTAACTCGTATTTTTCTTTTTTATTTTTATTATAATTTTTTTTTGTTTGAGCTGAAGTTGTCGGCGATTTTTCAAACTTTTGTTACGCTTTTGCCGTTTTTCTTTTATGCAGCATAATTATTTATTTGCTTGGGGAGTAGCTACACAATTTATTTATTATAAATGCTCTTGGCTCCCACACACAAACATACACGCACGCACACACTGAAACACGTACGCAACGCAACGCAACGCACCGCGCGCTCTTTCCCTTTCGCTCGCTCGCTCGCGCTGCAAAACACATAGACAGAATATTCATTCACGATACGTTTACGATACGTATAAATGATCTGCGCGCTCGCTCACACCCATGGGGGCGAGAGCAGTTGATATTGTTTTTGTTGCTGTTGTTGTTGGATTTTGTCTGTTTGTCTGGCGGCCGTTGATGGCTGCGGCTGCGGCTGCTCTTGTTGAAGAAAATCCAAGAAGAAAAATATTACTAGTATATGAAATGAATGCGACCGCAAAGCAAAGACGCACAAAAAGTAATTAACACAACAAAAAATGAGTGCTGTTGTTGTTGTCTTTTTTCTTCTGTTGTTGTTGTTGTCGTTGCGGTTGTTGATGCGCTCCTCGCAGACAAAATTCTTATTCTATACTTTTCGCTATTTAGCTTTAGATTTGATTTAATTACTTTTTTTGGCTTTATTCAATTTTTCATCGTTTTATGGTGTCTTAGACGTTGTCTACCTGTGCCAGCGCTGCCGACGCCGCTGCTGTTGCTGCTGCTGCTGTTTTACGTTGAACAAGCACAAAAACAACACACATACACGAAACGTAAAGTGGGCAAAAGCAAGAGCTAAATACGATACGCTGCGGAACGAACGGAACCCGTATATATGCACGCGTTTGCTGCTCGCATTTGGAAAGGCACTCGATTGCACGTTAATAACACATAACGTGCCGCTGTTATAAATTTTCGATTATATTTTGTTTGTTTGATTTATGTTCGCTTTTTACGTTTATTTCGATTGCGTGTTGCATTTGATTTCGATTTTTAATTGCTGCTGTTGCTGAATTTTTCACTGTGCCACAAAACCCACTCGCGTTACGCGTTACGTTACGAACGAAAGACAAGCGTTTTATTTGCCTGACAGCGACAGTCTGAGTGCAGTGTGGCTGTAAGCGGCTAACATAATAATGCAACACACTCAGCAAAATACCAAAACAATCGGGAGCCGAGGGGCGCGTTAACAGGCTCGTTTTTGCGTTTAACAGCGACGAAACAGTGCGTTAGCGCGAAATGCTATGCTTAACAGTGTTGTCTGTTACGGCTATAACACAGCAGATTTAGCCTTTTTAACTGCAGCAATAGCGTAATCTGGGAGTTAATGCAATATTTTTATAATATATATATACAGCTAAATATGCTAAATATTTACAAAGTACTCTATATGGTATATAAATACCGTTGCTTGAACTTTAAAATTGCCACAAAGATAATAAAAAACAAAGGAATAGAACAGAGTATATAGCCAAATTAGCTAAGCTAGAACTAGCTATTTCTTAAGCGTGGCAACACTGACCACATATAACACGACAACATTACGGCAACAGGCAACTTAACAGCGCCGCTTGCGCTTATGGGCATCACTTTAGCGCAGGCGCTTTGCAGCACTGCCCAAACATGTGTTGCTAACACGCGCTTTTTGTTTTTTGTTTTTATATAAACATAAACAAAGTTTTGCTTTAACAAATAAATGGGTGTTCGCGGCCTGACCAGCTACATAGCGCAACGTGCCGAGCTCTACCTAAAGCCCCACGAGCTGCACAACACCGCTTTGGTCATCGATGGCGACAATTTAGCCTGCAATTTGTACAAGGATGTGACCGGCTGCTACTCGGCCTTTGGCGGCGACTACGACGACTTCTATCGCGCCGTCGTCGAGTTCTTCCAGGTGCTCGCGGAGTGCCAGATACGCGGCTATGTGCTGATGGACGGCGGCTACGAGGAGCGCAAGCTGCGCACCGTCGGCAAACGGCTGCGCGGCAAGATTGCGGTCATCAAGAAGATAAATCCGTGCGATTCGATAACGCTCTTTCCGCTGCACCTCAAGGAGGTGTTCGTCGACGCCGTCCGCGACTGCGGCGTGCCCGTCATGCGCTGCGTCTTCGAGGCGGACGACGAACTGGCCGCCCTCGCCCGCAAGCTCAACTGTCCCGTGCTCTCGTACGACTCGGACTTCTACATACACAACGTCCAGTATATACCCCTAATCACGCTCACCGTCAAGGTGCTCACCAAGCAGCGCCGGAGGGCGGGCGAAGCGCAGCGCACGCTGCGCCGGCACGAGGCGAAGCACGTGGAGAAACGCACCAAGGCGCACAAAATCCTTTCGGGCAGAACAAGCCAGGAGGTGACGGCGAAGAAGCCCGAGTATGCCGTCAAGAGCAGCTACAAATATCTCGACTGTTGCATCTATCGTGTCGAGCATTTGTGTGGGCGTGGCGCCCTCAGCCCCGAGAAGCTGCCGCTGTTTGCGGCTCTGCTGGGCAACGACTATATAGCACGGTGTGTAAGGCGCTCCGTTGCGCTATACCCTGTCAAAAAGGAGAGATTAGAATATAGGGGACATCTGCTAAGCAGTGCTGCCAAGTTCGCAACGGCAACTGTAACTGTTAGCTAAATTGGCAGCACTGCTTCGGCAGATTTACAAGGCTATCTCGCAGTCTTACCAGACTCTGACATTTCCGCTCCATTTCAGCTCGGCGTTTCGCAACTTCTTTGCCGCTGGCATGGGCAAAGCGGGACGCAGTCGCAAATTGAGAAAGCAGCAGCGACGCATTCGCGTCATTTTGCAGTGGCTGCGCGAACAGACGGCCGAGTCGGCGCTGGACAAGGTGCTCTCCCGACTGAAAAAGGTATGTGGTATAAGTATTAGCAAAGAATGACCCTCAGTCGAATTCTACTTACTGTATTGCAGTTCCAGCGCGATTCTTTGGTCTCTCAGGTGCAGGCAGCCATTTCTGGCTATTCGAATGAGCTGTGCCACGCCTACGAATTCTTTGAGAAGCACTACGAGAATGCATTTCCACTTGTGGAGACAGCCAGCGAGGCTGAGGAAGAGGAGGAGGAACTAACTGAAGTTGAACAGTTGGCTAATCTCTCAGCAGAGAGCTCTTCCGAGGAGGAAGAGGAGCAGGACGAACTAAGTGAAGAGGGAAGCTCTTCTGAAGCGGAGGAGGAGGAGCGGGAGGAGGCAGTAGCTGAGCAGCCGGATGCAGAGCAACTGCAGCAAAGCAGCAACGAAGAGGAGGAGGAGGAGGAGCTGGAGGAGGCAGCAGAGGATGCACCCGATGTGGAGGACAAGACGCTGCTGTTTCCGCAATGGTTTCTCGACAAGCTCTATCCGGCTCATCTGCCGCGCTACTTTGTGGATCTGCTGCATCTGCGCAAGTACATCAACAATCCGCAAATCGAGCACTTTCCGCATCACGACGCCAACGCTCTGGCCCTGCCCATACTCAACTACAGCTTCGCCCTGCTGCACCATGTGGCTGGCGACGCAACGCCGCCCAAGCTGGATGCCCAGGGCCAACCCCTGCCCATCGAGTACACCTATTTGACGCGTGCCCTGCGCGTCACAAATGTGCGCTATTATCGCCAGGCCATCGAGCAGCTGCCCGCCTACGAATTTGTGCCCGCCGCGCCGGATGCACGGCATCTGCGTGCCGTATTCGAGGCGCAGGTGCCGCATGCGAATGTGGCGCAGCTGTTCGAGCAGCTGCAGCTGCTGCCGCCGGATCTGCAGCTGTACGGGCTGGCCATTGTGTACTGGCTGCACAGATCGGAGCACTGCGATCTGCTGCATCTGCATGCGCTGCTGTTGTGCCTGGTCGTGCTGCGCACCGTGGACGTCACAATACCCGCCGAGCGGGATTGCCGGCAGTTTCAGCGTCGCTTTGGCAAGATCTTGCGGCAGGAGCGTGCGGTGCGCGACAAGGAGGCGGCGGCGGGCATCAGGCGCGGCGTTAAGCCCGCGCTGCTGCAGCTGCCCGTGCCGGAGCGCATGTCGCAGGTGCCCAAGTCGGACTGCTATCTGGTGCAGGAGCGCCTGTTGCCGCACTTTCACATGCAGGAAATCTTCAAGAAGAAGTACGATCTGTACTCGACGAGCGTGCTGCACGCCTTTGCCGAGTTCCAGTCGGTTGTCTACCAGCTGAATGGCCTCAATGCGCTGCTCGATCAGCCGTTCCGGAGTCCGCGCATGAATCAGCTCTACTGCGGCGCCTTCATCTATAATCTGTACGATCTGCTGCGCAATCGATTGGATGTGCGCTACCATGTGGAGCATTTCCTGTTGGCCGATTCGCGTCTCATGTTCGACTTCTATTGCTTTCTGTATGATTGGTGTGCGGCTTTTGTGCCGCCTTGGAAGCAGCAGTCGGCGGCGGAGCAGGCCGCGGCCAAGGTCGTTGAGAAGAAGCGTCTCAAGAAGCAGAGGCAGGCGGCACGCAAAGCGGCTGCGGTTGCGGTTGGCGCTGACGGCGCCGATCCTAATGCGGAAATGTTGCAGCAAAGTGAGAACGAGGAGGATGCATTTTTTGATTTAAACAACAAATTCTGTGGCTTAAAAGTGTAAATATGTGTAAATAAAACGTTTGGCTAACATTTTCAAATTGACGCGCCACATCCTAATGCAAGCGACAATTGACAACACTGGCTATGTGCTAGTAAATACTTTTGTTTACATTTTAACAGGGCAGCGCCAGAGTTGAGTGCTTAACAGCGCTGTTAACCGAAATCGATTACAGCAATCGAGCAGCAACATCGCAACGTCTCTGTTAACAGAATGACATTTAATTTTTCTTCACGCTGATTTGAGCAAAATATAAAAATCTTTATACGACTGCACAGTTATTGTGCACTTCGTCTAAAATTGCAATCTAATTGTTGCAAATCAATAACAAAATATATAAAAACAGCATGTGGCGACAACAAAAAGGCAGCTCAGCTGGTGTCATACCAGCATAACGCCAACGCGTCGACCGCGCAGCTGACGACGCTGCCAAGGCAGATTTTTGTTATCGTTTTAATCAGCTCACACACAAAAAAAAGAAAAGTAGGAGGAAAGGAAGAAAAACAGTTGCAGACACGACAAAACTAATTTGCGATTAGTTTGTTATAACAATAACACTGCCAGCAACTAAAGCATTTGCTGTGAGTCAACAACAAAAGCAGCCCTGCCTGGCAACAGCATTAGCCAAAACAAAGACAAAGCAGCAGCAGCAAGAAATCACAACGTCATTTGGCAGGCTACGGCAGAGGCAGAGGCAGCGCAGCAGCAGCATCGGGTGGTAGCAGTAAATGCTGGTTAGCCTTTACGCGCAGCTAACACGCGGCATGGACAGCGTTTTCGAGGCCTACCTCGGCTCGGACAGCGTGCTGGCTGGCGCCGTCGGCGAGCCGGAGGATATACCAAAGCGCAATACAGACGTTTGGCTGCTGGGCAAACGGTACAATGCCATACAAGGTGAGAGCGCGAGTGTACAGTGAAGACCCCGTTGAACGAACAGCTCTGGTCGGGTATGCCCGATTAGTAGACGACTTCGATAACGATTCTTATCGATTAATTAAAACATACCTGATCTGCGCGGTCAGTAAAAGGAGTTCCCATCCAAATTGCAAGATTCTCTCCGAGATTAACAGCTAGCCGGACAATACTAGATCGGATCTGAAGCTGATATACTTATGTCTTAGGGTGCTTTTCCTGTAGATCGTATCTAACATTATGCTTACCCGTCTGCCCTTTGCAGAACTGGAGCTGATCCGACGGGACATCCAGTCGCGTCTGTGGTGCACATATCGGCACGGCTTCGTGCCGCTGGGCGAAGTGCAGCTGACCAGCGACAAGGGCTGGGGCTGTATGCTGCGCTGCGGCCAAATGGTGCTCGCCCAGGCCCTGATCGAGCTGCATTTGGGTCGTGATTGGTTCTGGACGCCAGACTGTCGTGATGCCACCTACCTGAAGATCGTCAATCGATTCGAGGACACGCGCAAAAGCTTCTACTCCATACATCAGATTGCCCTGACGGGCGAGTCGCAGAACAAAGCCGTCGGCGAGTGGCTCGGACCGAATACCGTTGCCCAAATACTCAAGTGAGCAGCAGCTAGCAGCTGGCAGCTGGACCGTACAAAGCCGGTTAATAATGCTTTAATCTAACTCCACAGAATCCTAGTGCGCTTCGATGACTGGAGCTCGCTGGTCGTACACGTGGCCATGGACAGCACCGTGGTGCTGGACGAGATATGTGAGTAGGCAACGGAAGTGGCGGATCTTTGCTCATCTACTTTATTTGTTTTGTAGACACACGCTGTCAGGAGACCAGCGCGTCGACGTGGAAGCCATTGCTGCTGATTGTGCCGCTCCGGCTGGGCATTAGCGATATTAATCCCATCTATATACCCGCCCTGAAGCGCTGCCTGGAGCTGAGCAGCAGCTGCGGCATGATTGGCGGTCGGCCCAATCAGGCGCTCTACTTTCTGGGCTATGTGGACGATGAGGTGTTGTATTTGGATCCGCATACAACACAACGTGCCGGCAGCGTGGCCCAAAAGACAACAGCTGCGGAGCAGGAGCTGGACGAGAGCTATCATCAAAAGTATGCGGCACGCTTAAGCTTTGGCGCCATGGATCCCTCGCTGGCCGTGTGTTTTCTGTGCAAGACGCGCAACAGCTTCGACGAGCTGCTGCAGCAGCTGCGCCAGGAGGTGCTCAGCCTGTGCACGCCGGCACTGTTCGAGATAAGTCAATCCCGTGCCGTGGACTGGGATACGGCGGACGATATCGAATGGCCCGCCATGCCGGACATTGATTGGCCTGCCGCCAGCGATTCCGAGTCCTTTGCCATGCTGGGTGAGTGATAACAATTCGCACTCAATTTTCCCGTCTCTCTTATCAATGCGCTCCAATTGCCAGGCAGCGGAAGCGACGTCGACAGCAAACCCAATCTGAGAGAGCCGACGGCTGACTGAGAGAGCGAGAGACGGGAGAGAGACGGGAGAGAGACGGAGAGAGTGCGGCGTCTGCGCCGTGCTCAATGCTTGTAGTTAAACCTGTACGAAAACTGGAGCAGCTGGCCAGCTGCCCAGCTGTGCAGCTCGAGCGGATGCTGCGGCTAGCGAATGGCTATAAACTATAAGAAATCTAGTGTTAAATTTATACACACACACAAACGAACACACATGCAAGCCTACTTACATATATATATGTATATATATTTAATATGCTGCTCTATTGTAAGTTTGATTGACTCCATGCGAGACAATTTGGCAAACACACACATACACACACATACAGACGCATTGTTTATGCTTTCTTTATAATACAAACTACCTTATTAATTGATTAAAACATCAACATTTTTTATATGGAATTTAAAGAGTATCTGTTATATGTATATGTTGTATATGTATTCGTATGCATATATATATATATAGCTATATATATGCTTTAAAAATGGACCAACAACTAAATACATAATACCTGGACTATATGTGTATGCATGTATATAAATTTCACTAGATTTAAACAAACCACATGCACATTAGACTGGCTTTTCAAGTTGCAAGTGGCACATTCAATTTGTGGCAATATTTTTTTTTTTTAACTTGGTTTTTTGCTTAATATTATTTGTTTTCAATTATGCCATTCGATTAAGCTAAACATTTTCGAAATATTCGTTTCTGGCGTTTTTCGAAATTTGACAATTTTCAATATTCTATATATATATATATATATGTGTATCGTGACAGATCTTGTCTTTAGATCTTTAAAAGTCGTTCTTAAACCATTTTGGTTTTTTTTTTAAAGAGTTCTATTAGCCAATTTTTTTTCCATTGCTGAAATTGGAACTTGCGAAACTAAAGTTTTAAATACTTGCAAAATTTTTGAAAAATTCCTTCGAATTTGAGTAAAATTGAGAAATTGCGTAATAAATTCACAGACTCTTAACCATCTAACTTAGCATAAACTCAATACTAAACACTTTTTGGTATAGAGTATTTTTAAAGATCTGATAAACAATCAATAAAATTAAAAATGAGAAAAAATATTAATTTAAAAGAAATTTGAATTTTAAATAAAAACTTTCAATCAGCATCAATCGAACATTAATGAGAAAATAGTTGCTAAGCAGAAATCAAAGCGTTGCAATTTGCGAGAGTTTACTGTATTCGTTTTTTTTTTTTTTTTTTGCATTTAGTTAGTTTTCTATCAAATCATAAAATATTTATCTATATTCGATTTGATTTTCTATCAAATCATAAAATATTTATCTATATTCGATTTGATTTGCAAGTTTTCTCTTGAAAAAAAGCCAGTCTAATGGCGCCTAATGCATTGCATATCTAATTATCCTTCAATATTTAATTAATTAACAGTTTTTGAAACTCAGAACCTAGACGAAATAAGGAACTATTCAGCTCTGTCGCTCTACACTGAAAACGAGAAACTCACGCACACGTAACGCCTGCCTGCCTTGCTGGGCTATAGAATTGACACTAATCATTAATCATTAATCATTAATCATTAATCATTAATTATTATAATTAATTAAGCATTAGACATTGAAGATTGATGGCCTACAATATGCAGCACTGTCGCTCGCTGCGCTTCTCCGGCTTCGGCTCCAGCTGGAGCGCCATTTCCACATGCTTGCGCGCCAGCCAGGATTGTTTCTGGAGGCGATTGACAACGATGCGATAGGCGCCAATGATGTCGGATCGCGGTCCGCTGGGTATGGCCGTGATTAGCATCTGTGTGGTAACACCGAGCTCGGCGAGCAGCTGCCTGGCCTCGAACTCCAAGGCGCACAGCTGGCTGAGATCGTCCGTATTGGTGGGCAGCATCACACAGCTGCCCGTCTCTGCGTCATAGTTCTTGAACAGGGGACAATCGTCGGCCACCTCGATGCTCCATGGGCTTAGCTTGGCCGTTGGCCCGCCATTCGAGAGCTGTTTCTCCGGCTCCGTTTCAATGGGCGTTATCTTCTTCTTGAGTGTGCCGCAGAAGAGATAACGCCGGCCGGGACCCGAACGCTTCACCGACTCCCCATTCGCCTCCAGCTCTTTGGTATTGGCCACCGCCGACGGCGGCTGTTGCTGCTGCTGCTCGTGCCCCAGCTCGATGGGATGCAAAAAGCTGTCCACAAACATCTCGTCCTGCTGGCGTGTGTTCATGCTAATCGCCGGCTTCTTGACCACCTCCGCGTAGCGTTCCCGCAGCGAGGCGCTTTTACGCAGTCGATGCGATTTGCGCACCCAAAAAATGGAACGCTTGGCGGGCTTGCTGTGCAGATTCAATTCCAGCTGCATCAGCTCGACGCTCAGCTTCGGGCAGGTGACAAACTGGCTGTTCAGGATGTCGTCTATGGTCGGCCGCTGGGCGGGCACATGGATTAAGATTCGTTCTAGCGGGAGGCAAGAAGAGAGAGAGAGAGGGAGAGAGGGGGAGAAATTTGAGTGAACAAATAAACAAGTCCTGTTTCTTTCGCCAGGAAGATAAATGGGCGATACTTAAAAATATTTCAATTAGAGTTCGCCTTTTTATCCTTCACAATTGCTTGCATTAAATTACTTTTCAAAAAAGTTGAACTGGCGAGCTCGCGCATGCTAGTTCGACGCTCACGCAGTTTCACGACGAAACGTTGGCAAACACGCTTGTGCCTGAGCGTTGAACTAACTTGGGAAAAGTCGCTGGCTCAAATCCAGCAACTAATTGCAATCTTAAATGCATTTCATAGAAGCTCTGTCCAATTTGTAGGCACAAGATCTTCGAAAGCTTTAGTTAAAATGAGCAGACAGTTCGGATTTAGATAGATGGAACACTTACGAATTAGTCTTATGCAGGGCAAGCTCAGCTGGCCAGGCAGCAGATAGTCGCCCTTGAGTATGGCCGCTTTGAGGCCAGGTATGGTGGGTGCACGAAATGGCATATTGCCGACGACCATGAAATAGAGCAATATGCCCAGGGCCCAGACATCCACCGGAGCGCCAATATAATGGTCATCGGAGAACAGTTCCGGCGCCGCATACGGCGGCGAGCCGCAAAATGTATCCAGCTTCTGATTGGCACCTGTAACGCATACAAACTGGTTAAAGCAAGTCGTGGACAGGCACAGGCACAGGGATTAGCACGCACCATTAATTAACTGTGTGCTGAAACCAAAGTCGGCCAGCTTGAGGCGATCCTCCGAGAGCAGCAGCACATTCTCCGCCTTGATGTCGCGATGCACATAGCCCAAGCTGTGCTGCATGGGTGAGATAGCAAGCCAACTGATTATCAGATCTCTCTCTCTCTTCCAGCGAGTTGACTTACCATGTGCTTGACGGCGAGCAGCAGCTGCTTGAAGAGCGGCGCCGCGTGTATCTCGCGCAGCGGCCCGCCCTGCGTGATGTGATTGTAGAGCTCACCGCCGCGTATCCACTCCGTGACCAGATAGACGCGTCCCAGCGTCTCGACCACCTCAAAGAGCCTGCTCAAGAGAGAGAGAGACAATTGGTGGAGGTGGATTGGGAATTCAGGCAAGGCCCGCTCACCTCAATATGTTGGGATGATGGACACACTCGAGCGTGGCTATCTCGCTGGAGAGCATGCGCAACGCCTTCGCGTCCAGGCCGGCGCGATCCAAGTCAACTACCTTGATGGCCACCTTGTCTGCAAAAGTTGAGATTCTCTTGAATTAACTATGTCAGAGTTTAGAGTGCAATTGGGTTTAAACTTGCCTCGTGTCAGCTGATGCACGGCCAGCTTGACCTTGGAGAAGTTGCCGCGTCCGATGTCGCCACAGAATCTGTAGAGGCCAATGCGACGTCCAATTGTTACCTGGCCAGCAAATTAGTTCAAGATCGAATTAGTTTACAAATTATTCTATTGATAAACTGGCTAAATTCAACTAAATTAATAAAATGCAGCAACTAATGCAATTAAAATGAATTTCGAAAATGACTCTGAGTAATCAGCTTAGGGCGAGGTCAAGTGCAGCCACATATGACTGCGTGTGTGGACTAAGATCCGCCTTCTGCCTTGCGTCCGGCTTATGGTTAGCCAAGGTCAAGTGGGTCTGCAATTTGGTAAATGTAATTGGAGCAAAGCTGCTGCTGCTGCTGCCCCTTTTGTAGCTGGGCTTTTTCTAATCCAAATGAGAGACAAAGCGGCGGCAGCGGGCAGCGTTAATTAACGCCGTGCAATACGTGGCGTATACGTAATGCGGCGGAATTACATTTGCCACACGCGCATTTCGTATGCACACAAAGCGACAACAGCAACAACAACAACAAAACAACAACAACAAAAAAAAACGATGAATGGCGCAAACACACACACACACACACAGCCGTTGTGCCCGCTCATTGGGGCGCAAGAAAATTAGCCTTGAACCACGACATAATTGCAGCGCAGCAGCTGCGACGCCAACGACAACGTTAACAGCGACAGCGACTGCGACTGCGACAGCGACTGCGACAGCGACTGCAAGCGCTGGTTTGTGCATTAGCTAACGAAGCGCGGACCAGGGTCGCAGCTGGGGTTTATCTGTCCGTAGATTTAGTTTATCTGTAGCTGGGGTTTATCTGTTCGTAGATTCGGTTGAGAGCATTATATTTGGATTTAAATACTACTACTATCATTGTTATTAATAGTTGTTTAATTATTATTGTCATTGTTATTATCAATATCATTATTATTATTATTTGAATACTCTGAATAGATAGAAAGGGTATAATGTATTTGGGCAAATGTATTTATCAGGCAGAAGGAAGCATCTGCGACCCCATTAAGTAAGTATATTCTTGATCAGCATCAATAGTCGAGTCGATCTAGCCATGTCTGTCTGTATCTGTAATCTGTAATCTCAGAACCTATAAGAGTTTGAAACATAGGTTCTCCTAGTGTTAACGCAGTACAAGTTTGTTATCGATAATCGATAACTTGTCCCGTTTTCAAGCAAATGAATAAAATCGATATCATGTTTTTCCGTTTTTTGAGCAAATCTCTTATGTTTTAAGAGGTACAGACGCCATATTTGACATATAGCTTCAAGAACAGTATATATATATATCAAGTATCTTTTATTATATAGCTATCGCATAGAAGTTGGTTCAGGGTATCCTCTAATTAGGTGCTCCCGTCCAGAGCCTATTGTTATTATTATTATCAATTGTAAATTTTTATTATTATTATCAAATCTTAATTGTTAGTTGCCTGAGGTACCGATTTACTTGGGTAATTCTTCTAACCAATTAATTATTTTTATTTATTTCAATTTCAATAAAAATTAGTCAATTCCCAAGTCTAAAGATTAAGTTTAAGGCTTTGGGACTTTTGCCCTCAGGACTATTGGACCATTTTAAATAATAATTAAGCTCAAGAAATTTGTGCTATTTGA